GATTATTAAAGAAAAAACAGAGATTAAATCTATAATAAAATATGTATAATTAAATAAAACTAGTTTTTACGGGTTAATGCACGAAACTTTATTTATTTATTGACGTTTCGCAGCCTTTTCAGGAGTCATTCAATGAGTGATGTGCGTGAAAACCTAAGAAACAAATATGTATAATTGATAATATAATATTGACATGTAATTCGTTTAAGTATTGACTAAGTAAATTTTAAATTTGTATTGTTGACATACACCACAATAATTAAGTATTTTAAGTAAAGTTTAATGCCCATAATTTGTAATAAATTAAGAAGTAAATAATGTGTTCAATGTATTTCAAAATTGTTTGTAACGTAACTTTGTTAAGCAAAGTAGGGTTATGTTTGTAATGTCATCCGTCAACATATAAATGTCAGTGTCATCTGTCACTGTCATTTGTCTTAAAAGAAAAAAGGGCATGTTGTAGTCTATGGTTAAAATAAATTATTATTGTCTATGTCGAGGGCCGCTCGTTCTCTTCCCCGGTATCCACCATTGCTGTAAGCTGTTAACATGTGAGTGTGCAATAAAAATATTAACAACGCCCCAATAATCGGTTGTAGTCCGTGGGGTACGTGTCGAAAGCACTAGCGGCAGCGTTCTTTGCCCTTAAAAGCTCTCTAGCGTCATCTGGTAGGTTGCAGCGATTGTCTGGCATCGCTGGAACCTGTCGGGATTCCTCGCTTATTGCGGAAGTGAGATGGCTCGAGAGGGCTCCGATCGCAGAGAGGGTGTCGTGAGTGGAGGTTATGTGGTAGAGGATGAAGTTGAGTAGCGAGCTGGCGTTCGAGTAGTTTCTCGATCCTCCTCCAGTTCGTCACTGTCCTTAAGGCGTTGAGCAGACGACGGGGCGGGGCGGGCATTTTGTCCGCGAAGCAATAAAGACCGCGTCTGCCCGTCGATGTCTGCGGCTGCCCGCGCCGCGTACACAAAGCACACGACGGGCAGAGGCGGTCAGTTTAGGACGTTCGTTCTAGTGAATAGTCCATGACCGCCCCGCGCCGCCGTATGCGTTACTGCATATAAACTGGTTTGTATGATCCACGGCGGGCAGCCGCGGACATGCCGCGCCGCCAGTGCCCGCCGGGCACCCAAGGCGCGGTCTTTTTGACCGCTGTGTGCGTTTGAAGTATAGGATTCACTTTGTGCTATTATTCGCGGCGAAATTGACCGGCCCGCCCCGCCCCGTCGTCTGCAAAGCGCCTTAGGAGGTCGAGGGAGGGTTCAATTGTAAGACAACTGGGCAATGGTCGGATGAGAGTTCATGGACCGTTTCTATCGAATGCAGAAAAAAGGGCTACGTTTTTTAGTAAGGCCATGTCTAGGGGATTAGCAGTGTGACCTGCTTGGGAAGGGGAGTGGGTGGGTGTGAGGTGCACTATGATGTCAAACACCGTAGTGTCAGAGAAGTTGGAAAGGAACCTGCAGTTACAGTTGGATGGTTAATTTCATTTTTTATCATATAGGGAGGCGTGTGTCTCCTATCCCTAAGTCCGCGACAAAGTGATTGCCGCTGGGTGAGTACCTTTGCTTACAGGGGACACTAAACTACACTGCACAATGACAGTGTACAACCGTGGTGAATGGAAAACCACACCAATGTGAAATAATACCTTCCCAATAATTCCCGCAGTGAAAACTACTAACTGTAATTCCCGACACGCCATACCACGGGGTCGGGAGAAAGTTCGAACGGGCTACCGACGGGAAATACCACTTGCCACGGACACGGGCGAAGAAATAATGACAAGAGACGCGAACGCGATGCAGAGCGCGTCTGCACAGCGCGGCGGCTAGCGAGCGAATGAGTATGAACCATTATCGAATTCGTACCGTTTGCGAGTCCGAAATGTCATTGTCAAATGTGTAGCGATTTTTAGTTCTTGTTACGTACTTTGTGGCGCTGCTATTCAAGTTTCCATACAAAATTTTACATTGACATGGCACTCGCAAACTATTCAAATTCGATAATGGTTCGTGCTAGGGGTACTGGTCTATTAAGTGTGTAGTGTAATAAACCACAAAGATTCAGCACTTGATACACATTTAGGCGCTTTGCAGACGGCGCGGGGCGGAGCGGGCCGGTCAATTTCTCCGCGAATGATAGCACAAAGTGAATCCTTCACTAGAAGGAACGTCCTGAACTGACTGCCTCTGCCCGTCGTGTGCTTTGTGTTCGCGGCGAGGGCAGGTGCAGACATCGACGCGGTTTTTATTGCTTCGCGGACGAAAAGCCCGCCCCGCCCTGTCGTCTGCAAAGCGCCTTATTCTTAGTTGGGTCTTTTTCTGGATCCGAAAAACGGACATATGTGTAATCTAGCTCAAACAACTACATACATTTAAACGGCCCAGTAAAACAAACTGCTGCATATTTTGTCAGATCCCTATTTTTTACTAAATTCGGAATACTGTAGTTTGGGTGAACTTTCACATACAACTATACACGCCGCAGAATAAGGGAACTGTCACTGTTGCTGGCTCGGTAAATGGAAACATCACAGCAAGCGAACGAGTTCGTTCAATGATGATTACTGGACTCGGTGAACGAATGCTCTGTAGCTCAATCATCAATAGAAACAACACAACGGCGATCGAACATTTACTCTAAGCATTCATTTGGTAAATCCAAACGAACGAAACGATAAAGACAAAAAAAATTGCTCGTTCAGAACTGTTTAGTACCCCAAGCAAGAAGCTAGCATGAAAGTATTCGTATCGCCATGTCAAAATTTCTATGAAGAAAGTTAGTTTGTTCTTTCGTCCGGTAAAGGCGCTTTAGAGTTTATATAGAAACTTTAACATTGGCGATACGAATACGGATCTGTCAAAATTCGTGTTTAGGGTTCCGAGCTTAAACGCAGCATTAGATTCTTTATCAAAACAAAGAGTTATAAAAATCGGACAATTACGGTTCATATCCAAATCAAACTGGTATCGTGGTTTTTGACTGTCAAGGTTATAGTGAAAATAAAATTGAAAGTCGCTAAAAATTAAATTTAATCTTTAAAAATTATATATAATTTATACTTAAGTTTATAAAATACAAAAATTTCAATATCAGAATATTTCATTCAGACTGTTAACAAGCACATGTGATAGATGAAAATAGCTACGCTATCCGCCGTCTCCTCTCAGTTCTTAAAGTCTACGGCGGAAGACCTTGCATTTATTGAAAAGAACCGGTAAAAACTCACCAAGGGCTGTAAAGACGAAAGGAAAATAAAAGTGATAAACAACTGGTCACTCGGTTGACCTTGAAGGATAAGAATATCCTACTATTTTAATGTGATCTAAATAAGAGATTAAGATTTACGTACTTAAAATACACAATAATTGTTAAACAGTACAAAAATATGATACAAAAAGTATGACGAGTTACATAAATAATTAAGTAGTCCAGACCAAAGTTATTTTTACAAGCAGAACCCATTCATGGGCTCTGCAATGTTTATACAAGGTACTTAATTTGAGTGACATTAAATATTTTACATACTGCAATTCACTTGAAAAAATTACATAATAATCTTATAACGCAATCTTTACAATATAAAGAGAGAATTAATACATTCATTTATTAGTATATTTTTATTATCATCAAATAGAATTAAACGGAATCATTTTTAAAGTTTATTGGGGTAAAATACAATTTTGCGAGGGACTTAATATAATGTGCTTGTAATCTATTCAAGATTTTTTTCATAGATTATAATAAAAAATACTGCCCACTTCAGTTGTTACTTTTAAATAACGTTGGCAGGTACTGGTTAGTGGTTAACAGTAGTCAGAGCGCCTCGCTGACCAACTAACATTATTTTAGAAAGATAAATTCAAAATACAAATAGGCAAGAAAATACTAGTAAAACAATGTAAAATGTGTCAAGATAGGACAATTGCTTTAACAAAAATGAGAGAAATGTTGACACAGTTAGGAAGGTGCCATGAATAACAACAAATTTTAATTGCATTTTGATAATAATTATGTTGGATCTACGTGCCTCTGTCAATAATCTGGTCAGACTAAGCAGGAAGACCATGACCCCTGAGTGGACCGATTACTTAGTTTTCAAATAGTTCAATTGTTAGACGGAAGTCAATTAATAAAAACCTTAGACTATTTCATATATGAAATATTATCAACATTAAAATGAGCGATGCTAGTTAAGTGCTGTAAAATCTCTTATCCGCACTAAGCAATAAGCTAAATGAAACAAGAAACTGACCTCACTCTACCGTATTACAGGGAATATAATGACCATGCTCACGCAACATCACCGCAGAGCATTAAGACGGTGTTAAATAATGAGAAATGGCTTCTTATGAAACGTCTAATACTTAATTTACGTATGACGCAGTCTCAAAACTCTGTTGGTGTCGAAAAGTGCGGTTGCATCTTAATATTCAGAGATCGTGGATTAATTGATCCACACTAACCAGTTATATAGGACTACCGCTAACCCGTTTCCTACCCTGACTCCCTTTCCTATGTGTTTCAGATAAATAAATAAATTTACTCTTGTATCAACATTTGATCCGCATCCGTAAAATATCAGGATCGTTTTGAAAGGTATAAAACGGTAAGTGATATATTTTCGTATCTTATTTGATTTTGTTTTATTTATTACAACGAAAAGTAATTATAATGTATTTAAATCAAAAATGCCTTAAAAGAAGTAACACGTGAGTTTAAAGATACGCATTGTCTTTTTCGACAAAACAATTGAATTCGGAACTGAGAAACAAATTCCATTATGATCCTTCTGAAATCATTTGATAATGAATGTGATTTCGAACAAAGGGATATTAAACGTGATGGACAGTAAAAACATTTCAAATATAGGAAAAGCTCGAAAAAACTGCAAACACATTTTACTCCATCATACCTACTGAATTGCATCTACTAAGACGGAAAAATGCAGTTGCTGAAATTAATATAAAGAAAAGAGTAAGTTTATCGATCATGGCAATAAAATAATCCATAGTAAATGTTGTGATGTCTCAAAATTTGTTTAAGCTTCTGATGAAGACGTCCCAATTAAGAAATATAAAATAACATTTTATGTAACAGTTTAACCAATCGGTTTCACTACTAGCATTATTATACAAAGGCTATTATTACTTGTTATACAGTCAGTCTTAAGACACTAATTACCACGTGGTAAGTTTAGATCAAGTGGTATCTCACAGCGCTGTTTAAATAGAACCGATTTTGAAATTGTATTGTGGCTTAAAAAAATATATTAATGTTCTTGACTATCGCCTTACTCACTGCATGATTTATATAGGAAATGGATGGTGGGAGTAAGGATTTGTGAAGAGCTATGGGGGCCGCTTTTAATAGCCGCCTCGCCTGGCGAAACCTCGCCCGGTTCTAGTGGGGGCTGGGGCGTCGTATTGCTCTTCTGCTTCAGTTTCTTGGATGGCCCTTGTGGCTGCTGAAAGATAAGCAAGTATAACATCAACTACCTCAAGACTGTGGAAATGCTAAAAAGTATAACATTAGCAACTTCAGCCCCCCTAGCATGAGTAACAAAACGCGATATGTTAAAGCGATTTATCGACATTAACTGTCAAACTACTATGGAGTTTGACAGTTGAGTGTCGATAAATCGCCCTATCATATCGCGTTTTGTTAGTCATGCTAGGGGGGCAGGGTTGTAGAAATGCTATGCTAAGATAGATTTCTAATTTGAAAGGACATCGCTGAGCTAGCTTGGAAGTCAATTACTTCCCGTCGTTGTATGTATTTCAAATTTTATGAAAAAGATTTTTTCATAAAATTTGAAATACATACAACGATACTGATGAAGAGTAGTGGAAAAATCCTAAAGGATCGAACTTTAATTGTATCGTGAATGTCTATTTGTTTTGGAACCTGCCAAAACAAAACCAACTGCCACTATTGATTGAACCAAAGCCAAATGTGATATCGCTAAGGTGAAATAAATGTGCTGTAGGAGTGATGCTAGCTACCGAATCTTTGATGGCCTACCACCCTTGCGAGGGATAAATGGTGCAAAAGTGTATATGTCTGTATTATGCACCGACATATGAAAATACATATGTAATATAGAATGAGTGCTTCAAACTATATGAAAACCGAGCTTTTTATATTTTGAGAACAAATTAAGTAATGGAAAAGCATGTGCCCTGGCCACTTGTTTCAATTCTATCGTTTTAAGGCTGGCCTTACACAGTCTGAATAAGATTCGGAATCCATAATATGAATTAACGATCTGAATTCCGGTGCGTTGACCATAGAGGTATAAGAAGAAGAAGGAAGTTTTTATACCTCTATATAGAAGAAGGAAGTTCTTATATCTCTCCTCACCGCTATGACTTACGCAAGTCTTAAAAATTAATTATGTTTAATCTATGGTTTGATCCATTGTCTCGCAAACGTCTTTAAAATAAGTATAATTTAAAGTGTCAATCCCACATTGGAGAGATTATGTCAAGGATGAATTCGTAATCTGATTTTGTTTGTGTGTGCTCGTCGTAGATAATGTATGAAAAGAGGTGCGTTTGGAATTTTGCTTGCCAGTTTCATTCTGATAGATCAATCTGACACATTCATAATCTGCCATAATCTTATTGTGTGTGGATAGTGGTTAAATTGTATGCAATACCGTGCGCTCTGAATTAATAATATGAATTCATATTATGAATTCAGATTCTGATTCAGACTGTGTAAGGCAAGCCTCGGGAGGAACTCGATGGGTGGTTAGCGCGTTCGGCTGCGATCGTTGAAGTTAATCAACTTTCGCAGTGACCGGTCATTGGATGGTTGACCAAAAAATCTTCTATCTCGAGTTCCTCCGTGCTTTGGAAGGCACGTTAAGCCGTTGGTCCCGGTTGCATCTGCAGTCATTAGCACCCGACAATCTGCACTGGGCCCGCGTGGTGGATCTTGGACCAATCTCCCTATTCTATCCATAGGGAAGGCCTGTGCCCTAGCAGTGGGGACATTAATAGCCTAATGATGATGAAGACAAGCCTTACAGCTTCATATTACGACACATTTTTTTTTTCAATTGCGATTGACATTCGGATTCCTATAGGTATCCTGGATACCGAGAACAGTGACGCGGAGAAATAAAAGGCATTGCACACCCTTTTGGCATGTTTTGGCACGCAAAGTAAAATAAACTTGCGGTATCTATTTCAATCTGTCTGTGGTATTATGCTTACGTCGTCCAAAACGCCCTCTGGTGGGCTTCGCGGAGGACGCAGGTGCCGCGGGAGCCTCCTCGTTGTTGCTCTCACGCGCAGGCGGCGGGTTATTGAAGCGTTTCTTGCCTATAATAAAAACAAATGGTAATTAAGAGCCTTAGGTTATAAGTTACCAAAGTATTTTTTTTTGTTTTTTGAAGTGAAACTTCTTTTCGGATGGGGTGTAAATGGAAAAATCTTATGGGAAATGATGCAACGGAAATGCGTCAAGAGCGTCACACGACTATATATATATATAGTCGTGTATGTGTGTGGAATACGTGCACAGCTCTTCCCGACGAGCTTGAAAGTTGGAAAAGAAACGCTACGAGCGTCACGAGCGTGACAGGCGACATTATATACAGGGCGTCGCACGGCTACCTCATACGGAGGGAAAATACATTAATATTGAAGATAGGATTTTTTACTAATCTAACTAAAAGAAGACATCATTTTATCTTAAATAATAATTATAACAGCATCCACAGATTTTTTAAAATCGCCTGCTACAACTGGCACTCATACTCGTGAAATTTAGAAAGAAAACGTAACATTTTTTATGATAACCATGGAAAGGGTTAATCGTAAGGATTATATTTGCTAAATTTAATTTTATATACTTTCCCTCCGTGAGACAAAAAAAAAGACAAACGTATACAGAGCGTTCCACGTAGAACAAGGAAAGTATATTAAAATAATATGTTATTTAGGTAAAAATAATCCTTATGATTAACCCTTTCGATGTTTATCATATACATAATAAGTCATGTGTTTTTTTTTCAAATTTCACGAGTTTGATTCCCAGTTGTAACAGGCGATTTCAAAAAATCAGTTATTATTAAAAATAATATGTTTCTTCTTTCAGTAAAATACCCTATTTTCAATATTTAATATACTTTCCCTCCGTGTGACAAACCGGTGGGACGCCCTGTATATACGCCGTGCGCTGTTCCATTCCCCTATGCCTCATGCAGCGCCTAATATAAGGTTATTTAAGATAAGAAGTTTCACTTCAGATGTGTGGTCCATGCACCCATTTTTTTACTGTAATAGTGTGATACTAGTTAACAAAATTGTATAAGGTCCACGTTATCTAGAGGCTCGCGAATTTTGTTTACGTGGGGTCAGTTAAAACTACTTTTTAACAAAGATATAAATAATGTGATCACACACTACTCCGCCACCGCTGTTTGCAATCCTATGTAAGCGGTAGATCATATCAGATTTCCCACTTGAATTGGAGCGCCTGTCTGTGGAAATAATTCCACCTTGGAGAAGACCACAGTAATAACCTATGGTGATGTCCTGTTCATGTTGTTGAGTAAGGTTTCAGGCTCCATGGGTTAGTGGCTTGGGTTCGGACCAGCAAGGTGACGCTTAACAACAAGAAGGGTGAGCCAATTACCTACAACTTGATAAAAAAAATTTAGAGAAGAGAGAAGAAATAAGTTCATTTGTTTTCTATGTTATCACCAGTGTTGGGCAAAATGTAATTAATTTCAATTACAAATTGTAATTGGTGACTTTAATTACAAATTACTTGAAATTATCGAAATGTAATTCAATTAACAATTACAATTAGCAATTGTAATTGTTAATTGCAGTTACTCAATTACTTATATATTATCTCTTTTAAAGACGAGGTAGTATTTTAAATAAAACTATTATGTTATGATTTATCAAATGTTTATTTACGAAATAGATCAGATAAATTGTGTAATTGTAACCACCTTTTTTAAAATTAAGACAATTATTGTTTAATTTATTTTAAATTAAACATTAATACTACTCTTTGTTCAAACATTTGATGAGAAAGTTTGTAAGATTTTGGTAAGTTAATCATTGTAGCATATGAGAACAATCAATAGAAATAAAGGTGCACACCGCCTAGAGACTAGAAAAGGGATAGGTAGCTGTGTAGGTACTGGTAACGAGGCAAACACATAAATTCATGGCAAATTATACACTGAAACTTTGTTTGTGTTGTGCTTGTTGTGCTGCGTACGGGCATCAAGCTAATAACCGCTCAGTTTTAGTAGTTTATTATGTTACCCTTAAAAAGTAATTGAGTAATTTGAATTACAAACTAATGTAATTTAAATTACTTCGGACGTAAGTAATTGAATTACAGTAATTTCAAATACATGTAATTTCAATTAAAGTAATTCAATTACTATTAATTGAATTAGTAATTAAATTACAAAAGTAATTAATGACGCCCAACTCCTCACTCATTAAATAAAACTACTTTTTAACGGGTTTAAACTGAGAAAATTAAAAAATTCTTTCGAAGGTAGGTGTACGAGTAAGCTCGTCAAAAGTAAAAAATTAATCGCCGAAATGTATGGTAATACGTACATAACGTCAATTTTTTTTTATTATCATCGTTATCAGGACCAGCCCCTCTAGCATGATCACCAAAACGGGATATAATAAAGCGATATATCGACATTAACTGTCAAACTCCATAGTAGTCTGACAGTTCATGTCGATATATCGCTTTATCATATCCCTTTTCGGTGGTCATGCTAGAGGGGCTGGTTTGTATAAAAGTAAAAGAGTAGATAAGTAATCGACCATTAATCAATTATGGCGGTACGAAGTTTGCCTGGTTAGTTAAGAAATAAGTTTAATTTAACAATTTATACTTACTGTAGCTACCTTTGGCGGCAGTTTCAGCTGCTGAAGATTCTTGCGCACCGGAAGAGTGACCGTGCTTAGCTGAAGAAGAAATAAGGATACGTTTACATGTACGTTCAGTTAAAAAAGCTCGTTTGTCTTCCTCTGTGAGAAAAGACATTAGGTAGGTGACGATTTTTCAATTGCAAATGAAAACTATGACGAAGCATAAGAACATTCTTATAATTTTTATTTTTTAAGCATGAAACTGCTTGATATTTAAATCTAAAGAGAATATAACTAGAAAAAGTTCCACGCGGACCAGGCAGCAGACGGGACTCGAACCCGCACCCTTCGCTATCCGGGCGAATGTCTGAATGTAATTGGTCAGTGCATTAATAATGAGAAACCTGTCACGGTCGCCATTATTTTAGATGTGGTTTAAATTAGATAAAATAAAGAAGACGGTGTAAGTAGACGTTTAAATATAATGAGTGAATTTTGGACAGTAAAAATATTGACAATTGATTATGCTCATAAAAAAGAATATATTAAAACTATAACGTAAAAAGTGTCCCAAACACGGTCTCTTTTGCGTCATTACATACAAAACGTATGAAAGCGTCGCTATGCAAAATATATAGAAAAGACAGGGCGCGGATACACGACGCTTCTTCATTTTGTATGAAACTGGACAACCCCCGAGCCTCGTCTGTGTCGTACGTCTTTTCTGTATGTCCCCCGCCTAATAATGAGGTCTAACTATGGCAATTATATTTATACATTTTCTATTCTCAAGCTGTACATCTGGTGATCTACCAGCGACAGAATGGCGATACTGTATTTAAGAGTAGGTACCAACATTGTTCTGCAGCTTGGGCTCGCCTTCTCTTCAGTGTCTCGAGAAGGTCTGTGTTGCTTCTGAAAGGCCTGACGCCTCCCGCCACAAGCTTCTTGCCCTCCGTGGATGAAGGCGGAGCCTCGGTGGAGGGCTCCTGTTGTTCCTCAGCGGCGTAATCGGCGTCGTCATATTCCACTTCCTCCTGAAAAAAATGTTTATGTATCATCATCATTAGCTGGTTACAGTTCCCACGGCTGGGGCAGAACCTCTTCCTTGGATGATATAGGGTGATTGGGCCAAGATCCACCATAACGTGTCAGTGCCGATTGGTGAGAGCTAACGTTGCGGCCACGACCAACGGCTTAACGTGTTTTCCTAAACACGGAGAAACTGAAAATATAAGCTTTTCGGTCACCCATCCGATGACTGGCCACTGCGAAACAACTTAAAAGTAGGTTGGTTAGTAATTAAAAGAGTAGTTTTCTTCCATAATTAGGTCCCTACAAACCAAATACGCTATCAACCTCCTCATTAGTGTATACCTATGGTCAGTCGTTTTGAAATGCTTTCAAGTATTTCGATGATGTTACGATGCCAGTAGTTGCAACTGTAAACTGACAAATCGCTACTGTACATATACCTGAGAAACTGACAAAATACGATAAAAATAATACAACCAGTCGTTACACATTCGATCAACAAGCTTTACATGTTTATGTAGGTATGCAGTTCCAAAGTCATAAATAATCTCTTTAAGGAATAACGCTTGGTGAGTCGAATACCTAAGCACTTGGTGAGTATTATTTTAGAAGCCCACTTATTCTGAATGTGAATTTGTAGTTAAGTTCAGAAAACATCAAAATACGAAAGCCTTTTCGTCAGAGTCAATTAGCTGAATTAGTTAATTAATTCAAATAATATTATAATCGTGTCTATTGTTCTTTTATTATAAAAATGACCGAAATAGAATATAAAAAGATATCACGCAATAAGTTCATTGTAAATTATTGTGAAGTATGTCAATGGAGTGCTAGGATACTTTTCGAGAGCTTTTGTTTAACCCGTAGCACGAGATCTAATCTTTCAGATTTCAGTTATTAGTTTCAGTCAGTCGATAGTAGTCAGTAGGATATTTACTGTCGATTTTATTGTTACTCGATAAAGGCGTCGCCGATACAATATGGTTGCCACTCGTGAGATTATACTTGCAATGATATTAAAAATACATTTTCCTTTAAAGCGGTCGAATGAAAAACAAAACAAGAGTTTGGACCAGTCATACTGACTTATCACGTTCCTTTACGAGAACCGGTCATCAAATAAGCACTGGCAATGCACTGTTTAACATTTCTGAAGAAGGGAAGGTGGCACAAAGGTCACTGGCGAAGGTGACCCGATGATCGGGCACGCTCATCCAGCCCACTCACCTTGAACCGGATTTGTCACAATCTTAACATGTCATTTGCGAAAGACTAGTACGATTAACATCATCGCATACGTAACATTAAAATAAAACTCACGGAAGTTTGAGCAATCTTTCAAAATTGTTAGAATATGCTAAATATCAAATCTAGTTTTACGTGTGCTGAATTTTCAAATTATTTTTTTGTCTTACTACGTAGTGTAAAACCTATGTAAATTAAGTAGGTTTTGGCAATTTAATATCTTATATATAAAATTCTCGTGTCGCGGTGTTTGTGGTTAAACTCCTCCGAAACGGCTTTCCCGATTCTCATGAAATTTTGAAATGTGTGCATATTGGGTAGGTCTGAGAATCGGACAACATCTATTTTTCATCCCCTAAATGTTAAGGGTAATCCACACCTAATTTTTTTTTTGCCATTTTAGATATTTTTTTTTTATTTTTTTATGATACATCATACAAAAATACATACAACCCTAAATTTTGCACTCTTCTACCACCAACCCCTTTTTTTTATGGCGGTACGAAGTTTGCTGGGTCAGCTAGTTGTTTTCTAAAATTGCTTGTTGCAAGTGCTTTGTATGCTAAACTAAAAATAAAGCCAATCGATTGGAGATTGTGATTTGGCAGTTCTTTTTTCATTCATGGAATGTCTGCATTTTTAGCCAACTTATACCACAATAACGTCAGCTTATATGAATAATACATAAGTAAGTGTTATATTTTTGGCCTTTTTATTCAATTGACTTCTGAGGTTGTTTTTACTACTCGTTTTTATTTAAACTCTAATAGAATAATTCTCCCTCTACTTTAATATTACGCACCAAGGAGAGAAAGTGATATTTTTTAAATCATCATTTGACAGACACCCAATAATGAGCGTGACTAATCTTAGTACAAGAACAATAGCTCTGGCCTAAGTGTTATTGTGTTACATTTTGGCACAGCGGTTACACACGAACCTAAGATTTCACAATCTAACTTCAGTCGGTATCTGCATTGGATATCGACCCAACCTTAAATATTCTACTACATCCAAGATTTCGAGCATATAAGACTTTTAAATTTCATATAAACTTAATATTTTATGAATAAAGTAAGTAAGATTGAAACTGTAATTTAAAGAGTGTCAAGAGAATTTCTCTTTTATTTGGGTAACTATTCCAAATCAAGACTAAAAGGTACTGTGCAATCTGTATTTATAATTTTAAATTTCGGTATAACAATAATTAAAAGGGATATTATTTATTTACGTCATAAAATTAGAGCACTGAATTTGGAGATGAAATTCGTAGGCATTAAAATTTTTAAGCATATGCCACTATATGCCTAAAATTTTTAATTCACTAGTTTGTAAAAAGTGAATCACGTAATTGCTGCCTTCTTGAAATATATATGCAAAGTACCTCAGGCGCCTGCGTGGTGGTGGTCGTTGTGGGCTTGCCCTTGAGTCCGCGCTTGAGGAGTCCCGCCCTGGAAGGGGAGCGCGCCTCGCTCTCATCCTGCGCGCGGGCAGCCGGCCTCACCTCTCCAACCACTAATGCCAACAGCACGATTCTGAAAATAAAAACGTTTATAATAGTATTGTTATTTGAGATTTTTAGGGCAATGCAAACTGTACAAGACACTGCGACCTTAACAAAATCAGTTAGCTTCTGAGAAACTTTAAAAATATATCTGACTTTTACCGCCTTATTAGAAAACGTAATTTTAAATCTGGACTAAAACTGATGCTTTCACTTTTGTTTGGTAAATAGAATACAGAGACATTAGTTTTAAACCAAGACTGATTAGTCCACGTTTTGGAATAAGGCGGTTAGAGATTTGATTTTCATTGGGCGTAATATTTGTCGTCCTAGATGAATAAGTACTTAGTTTGCGGATTCACACAATAGTTGGCGTATTACACGCTCCTGAACTTAACTTTTTTTATTATTGTAGACCACGGTCGGGATTGAAACTGAAGGTAGGTGACATCAAAATCCGCAAAACCAAATGAATCGAAAGATGTGTGGACAAACCGTGCCTTAAGAGGGGAGCCGGGCAATAATTTTTCCATACAAACGTTCTAGAACGATTCCTCGTTGATTTTCATCACTGAAAAATTTTCATACATAAAATATTATTTTACTCATTTTATGCTCCTATGTCTTCCTTTTTTCGATAACTCGTGTTTCAAAGAAACTGGAAGCCTCCAATAATGCCAATATACTTATTTTTATCACCGCTAAAACGTCTAGGAGATTTATTAATAAGCATTTATAAAAAGTAAAACATAGAGGCTTAGAATAACTACTTATTATTCTATGGGTATTTTTTTTACATATATCTAATTTTCGAGGAGGAAAGCGTCGAGAGCCAAACCTCGAATTTTGCAATTTTTATACGCATTTTTCAGCGTTAAATACATTTGTCCCTATCTCACGGTATTGCCAATGCGAGACAGTAATAGTTTTTTCAATTACCTATTTCTCAATTTTTCTCAGCTCGCGTCTGCTCTTAAGACGGCCTGAAGCTTTAAACACAGGATTGGACCACCAGTCTTGTCTCGTAATTAGCTATCATTATATGCACAGTAAGTTATCTGTGTAGTATATCATTTCGTTCGGTAATAAATAACTGTTAGGTGTATTGCTAATCCATTTTCTATCTAGTTTATGAAACATCCCTTTGATTAATAGGAGTTTAAGAATTTAATAAGAACATTTAAATCATGCCAGAACACCACTTACATACAACGCCAAAAGAAACAACAGAAATATCTGCCCTACACCTAAGATTAATTATGCGTTTACTAAAAGATTATTTGCCTGTCTTATCCCTTACTTTTACAATAAAATTAATACCCTTCTCCTGAACTACCACCAGCCCCACTCCAAATGCAAAAAAAGTTTTATCTGACTGACTTTGTGGAAAATCATATTATGAGGAAACCGAGACATTGCTCGCTGTTGAATCTTAAATAACATCACTTGCACTTATTCACACTCGCATCCATAAATATACACAGACACACGTACAAACATACACACACACACACACACATATAGAAAATGCGCGGATCCGATGCGGATCCACGCGTGAAATTTTTACAGAATAGCCCCGCTGATCTGCTTTTCGCTATCCTATAATAACCTATTACTATGTCATCCTAAGGAACCTATTGGAAGAGACTGAATCCCTAAACACAGGCTATATTCATAGCCTATCTAGGGTCAGTTGTACTATTCATTATATAACTACTGCCTTATGTAAAAAAAACTGTATTTCGTTTATTATGTAAAAAAGTAAACAACATGCGCTGTTATTTCCCTTTATGTCCCAATCCAACTTATAAATGAATTTTATGCACGATCGTTTATTTATTAAAGTAACTTAATTATAAGTTTACCGGAGCAGATTTTAAAAGTAGTTTGTCCTTGCAGTTGAATATGTATGAATAGAACTAGTATGCATCTATATGTATGTATTAAAATCGTCCTAACCCACACTCAATACCAAAACGCAAGCTAATGAATTATTTATTGCACGTCATTGGTTAATCATTATATTAAGAGGTGCATAGTATTCGTGCTTCTCGAGACGAATGTAAAAACTTCATCTGCCATTTTGATTGGCGCGTCTGGTTGGTGCATAGATTACTAACATGCGTATAATCCTTGTCCAACTGAATTTAGACATTTTGTCAAGGCGAAATATTTTATCATAGAATTATAGCTGCATCGCAAATAAATAGTTGCAAAACTATAAAAAAAACCTTCTTCTCATGTACTCAGTGTACATTAGATGCGTACCTCTCACCATTCGCGGATTCTCTTATAATTATATTCATTACATAATACAACGTTACAATATAATATTACGAAACATTAGAATATTCATTATTGCGATAACATCAAAAGGTCAATCAACCGCTAGAGTTCAGAGGGCATATACATAATAATATTCGTAGAATTCTTTAGCTAGTGCGGTTCAATGACGATAAATGATATGCGGCTCGCTTGGCATTCGAGGTTAGGCGAACGTCGGGGGTAGATGCGGTATTTGCGGAGTCTGCATCCGCGTCTACAACTCGTCGCACCTAGCTGCGGCGGCGGCAGTACGCTGTAAAGGTCAGCCTGTCGCTCTACTCCGAGATTGTTGAATAACTGGCCCCGCAGGGTCAGGTCAGGTGGATGCTGAGCAATTCCGTATCCGCTTCCGAACGACGTATGACAGCTTCCCTTCGCTTTCTCTATTTTATGTAATTCGTTTGACCGCACGCATAAAAAAGCACACACATATGCGCGGTCACGATCTAGCAGTTAATATACCAAAGAAACACCAACATCGGTCTGAGCACTAGAGATATTTTATTGTTTTATTGTTATGAAATGTACTTGAATTCCAATGAGTTAGAATGGCAAAATCTCTCCCTGGTTCGTTAGAGACGTGGAGAAATCAAACAAGTTGCATTTCCAGTCACGTAGGAAAAATGCACTTTCTATATTTGTGACATTTACTATGTCGCACGCGTGGGTGATCAGAATGCGTAATTGTAACCTCAAACACGTCAGGGTCACTCGGGCAAAAACCAGAAGTGGTAAAAAGTGGGCTGGCCTTGCCCCGTAATGCTGCACCACCGACGGTGCAGGAAGTATCGAAAACCATTTCTAAGCATGTCCTCAAAATACAGTTGCGACATGATTCCCACCATATGACTCTCACAGAACAATTCATGTCGGTCGAGATTTGAGCGTGAATTACGTGAGCGTACATTTTGAACCGATAAGCCATAAATTGTAACATCCGCGATGAAGTTTTTAACGCGGCAATGTTCTCACGATTAATAGATGCAAAAAAAATCACAACATCTTTGTGTTAAATGCATACGTAACCGATAAATATTTTATGTGTCAAAAACAAGACGGTGGGTGCTACGTTATTTCAAGAATGATTAAATTACTTTTTTATTATTTTGTGGCCTGCATTCGAAGACCTATTGGCTAACGTTAATGTGCAACTATGTCAATATTGAATAAATAAAATATTACCCAATATCGTATATGCTAACTAAAGTATGGGTTGCATTTGGTAAATAGATGTAACAAAGCTAGCTGCATCACACATATAAAGGCAAAAGTGTGTGACTTTGTATGTTTGTTACTTCTTCTAGGGATGTCGAAAGTTGAAAAAAATATCGATATATCAATACATCGATATTTTAAAAAATATCAATATCGGCTTCGATATATCGCGAAAAAAACATCGATATATCGGACCAATTTTCCCAAAAATATCGCTCACGAAATATGACACGCGGAATACCTAATAATGGAACGAAAATTAACTCCCTAAAAATAGACCCTATTTTCGAATGATGACATAGACAATACTAAATACAGCACAGATCATAGATATGTTGAATATCATTATTCTGAGATCCAGTTACGATTTTTCCAGATACGAATTTAGTTAGATCGTGATATGCCGCTAATAATTAAAAAAATATCGTTTTTGATACGAATTTCGATATTGGTTATTTTGTATCGATGTATCGATATATCGAAACAAAATATATCGGCAAAAAATATCGATATATCGAACAAAAAATATCGATATATCGATACATCGATATATTTTCAACAAGCCTAATTTCTTCACGTCTAACCGGATGGAGCGGTTTAAAAAAAAATCGTTTGTAGTTAGCTGACACCCATAGACTACGTTTTACTGCGGAAAAATATCCCTAATACACGGCGGGTAACACCGCGGGGCTCAGCTAGTAGTATCATAAGGCGACAACAATAAATTTAGATTTTCACCAGTGCACATCGAAAAAGTAATATTTGTATGTTTTATTTTGCGCGAGGGACCCATATCCATACCGTTCTGAGTGAGGGACCGTGAATTATTTGCGTACTTATTAGTTTTCCATGTAAATATTTAGGTGATGCATTTCTTTTCTCTCTCTAAAAATTCTCTTTGTCCTGATATTCAAAATTCATTAAAGTTATAATCGATTCTTATGTTTTCACGCACACCAATCCTTTAATAAAACACTTTGAAATTACATGACGAGCGATTTATTATTTATTTAATAAATTTCGATTTATTCGTAATTATAAAGAGTTGTATGAAATTCATTAAATTTTGTTTAAAGCTTTAGACGTTAAAACGTAATATAAAGACACTATCGCATTTAATAATATGTTAGCTACTGTTACTAGAGTTTAAATACTGTAAGTTATTATTAATTATTATTTAGATTAAATAAAAATTTAATGCCTATTTTGAACAATCAAAATCGATTATCTCCTAAGTTTCTTAGCCTATCCGTTTTCGATTATAATCACATGAACGGATTCAGTGATGGGAAATGATGGTGAAGTTCCCCACAAAACACAAGGCGGCTAACAATTTACCTACATAAATTTTATATCTAAATCGTAACCTATTACTGTCTACCTATTAGTTAAATAATAAATTAAAATGTTTGCCATTGAAGCAGTATTTTATTCAAAGTTAAGGTTAAGTTGCGATAAGCCGACCTTCCCTATTTATTCAATTCCAACACA